TAAGTACTGCATGCAAAATCAAGTTTTTAGTAACATACTATATATACCCAACTATATTACACATATGTATACCAACCAATTTAGAGCCCACAAAACAGGAAATCGTATTTAAGTGAAATCATTACACGTGCAAACATTTCAGTGTCAGCGTGTTTCCTTCATCGATGTGAAGAAGAAACTCTCCCTTCTCTGGCGAATCAAAATCCGGTTGCCATGTTACTTCACACTCCAGTGAAGAATGTGGTTCAACAGTGCCTACAGAGGATTCAGAGAGAATGAGAAATTTACCACATATTAATCACATTTATTTTTTTAATATCCAAAATAAGAGCTGGCATAAAAATGTGCTAACCTTATATAACAGATTATTTAAACTCAAAATATAGAAAAACACTAAATGAGAGGTTAACAATTGAGTATAAACCCAGAAAATTTGATTAAAATCTAAAATTATACCTTATCTTTTCAATTTTAATAGGCAGATAAAATAGTCAACAAAAAATATGCCAATATTTGGCAAAAAAATTGAAATTTATCAATGAAGTGAACACTTTAAGATTAGAGTTGGCTTTACACATGGATGGTAGAAAACCATTTGTGATCCCTGATCACACGTACCCCCCTCCCAACAGGTTTCCCAACACTCAGAAATACTTACTTAACAACACTCATTCAATTTTTGGAGGAAAGAATTACCATTACCAGAGGCATTTTTTTTTGTTTTAATGTTCATATCCCTAGAGATGTAACTTCTGATGTACCTATTAGTAAACACATTTCTATAACTCAAATATATTGAGATCCCAGGAGATACCAGGCACATTTGCTGTGAGCTGCTTTGCCTATTTAAATTCATCATCTCCTCTGGACTAAGAAAATAATACTTGATGGAAAGAATGACTTAGAAGTTTGTTTTTCAAGGAGAGGATCACCTGAGATTCAAAGGCCCAGGATACTGAACAGAGAGATGAGTGACCATCACAAACTTTGCCTTGAGTCAGGTTGCCTCTCATACGATGGTAGTTTCCCCAGTCTCAAAAAAGATATAATTCCTACCTCCTAGCTCTGCAGTGGCCACGTAGGGAGATAACACATGTATAGGGAGTAACATAGTATGTGATGCCTAGAAAGCACCCACTGTGAGATACTATTATTAATACTTTTGAATGCAAATACTATGGTCGGCACAGTAATTTATAAAAAGAAGAGAAACTGCTTGTGGAAGAGCTAATAGTCTAAAGTGGATCCATTAAGATTATATTTGTCTTTAAGTAACAAAAAGTCCTATTACAGTGGGTTAGGTAGACACGTGTTTATTTATCTTATGCAATCATAAGTCCACGGGCAGGTATTCCAGGACTGCCTTAAGAGGCTAACCAATGCCTCCAAGGAGCAATGCTCCTAGCTTCCCACACCTCCATTCCTTATCATGTTGCCTTCCTCGGTGTGGAAACATACCAGAGCATAGAGGTTAAAAGAGCACAAATTCTAGGGTCAGATTCCCTGGTTCAAATTTCAGCTCTCATACGTACTAGCTGAGACTTTGGACAATTTACTTAACCTTTGTAACATAATTTTCTCATACATAAAGTGAGGATATAACAACTGCACCTAGCTCAGAGAATCATTGTAGGGATTAAACAAGCTAATATAAGTAGAAGGACTTCAAACAGTGCTGGCAACCAGAGGGGAAATAGAGCTAAAATAATTTCTGTCCATATCTCATTGGCAAGAAAGACTGAGGCAGTGCTCGCTTTGCCAGCACATATACTAAAATTGGAATGATGCAGGGATGATAAGCATGGCCTCTACACAAGGATGATGCAAATTCATGAAGTGTTTCAGATTAAAAAAAAAAAAAGTCTGAGGAAAAGAGATTTCTAAATAAGAACATCTATCACAACAGGAGATGGATTTAAACAAATAACTGTACATGACAAAACAAATACATAATGGGAGTGTAAAAATGGTTGAGGAAGGAGTTCTAAATTAGCCCAAGAAAGTGGAGGAAACTTCATTATTAGGACAAGGCATCTGAGGTGTGACCAAAGGAAGAGCAGGAACTCTGCAGGAGGACAAAACCTGGGGGAAGTATAAAAGTCAATGAACAGTACTGGAAAAGAGTGGTGTCTGTAGAAGACTGATGGGAAGTAACTGAAAAAGGAGAGTCCATGCTATTTATAAAGACACCCTGAGCTTGCTGAAAAGAGCTGAGAGCAACACAAGGATTACAGATCTATGTGGAAGGGTCACCTTGAGGTCAATATTTTCCCTTCAACCAGCATGGCTATATATTTTTCTCTAGGAATATTATATCTATTGGGGGACAGGGGAAATAAATTGGATGGCTGAACTGAGCAAGGCTGGACTGGCAGGGCACATACTACAAATGGCCAAGGAGTGAGAGAATTGAGGAAGATAGTGCGAATGAATTGACTGAAGACATGTTTAAGGACTGAATAGGCTCAAGGATTCAGGATGGTTAAAGACAACAAGGAGGAACACGTAACAAAACAAGCAGAAACATGAACAATATCTAAAGAAAGTCAAATCAGAAATCAATTCTATCTTAGAAAATCTCAATCTACTCTTACATCTTTCCCTTACAGTATCCACTATCCAAATACACATCCAAAATGTATCCTGCCTCAGAGAGAAAGAACAATCACAACATGAAATTTAACTTAAAACTACTCATTTTAGTTTACAAAAACATAGAGATATTTTTTTAAATGTATTATGCAGGATGTAAAACCAAGTATAGGGTAACAAAATTTGCCACCATAAAATGTATCTCTTTGGCATGAGGATTAATTCAAGCTTATTATTTTTAAGAAACAGAAGATTCAAGAAGTTTTTTTTCTTGTGATCTCCCCCTTAACTACCTGAAAGGATTTATATAACGGGCTAGTTCCCAGAATAGAGCTATCACCAGAGATACCTGCAGAGAATATGGGCTATTTAGGTGAGATGGGGTGGGGAAGCTCAGTTGGGCCTGGGCATCAGAGTCCACTTGGTGTTCCACTGTCTCTGCCTGGCCCAGCAAACATTTGTTTACCAAACATTTGCTTTTCCAGCTCCATGTGAATTACCTTCCTCCCCTCTGAGGCGCCAAACCACTACCCCTCAACACCCTCTTTTGTCTTCAGCCGAAGACGGTATTTGAGGTTAGGATTTTTGCCATTCTGGAGAGTTATTACTGGGTCTCTCTCATGGATACATGTTACTAAACTTTTGTTTGATTTTCTCCTGTTAATCTGTTTCATGTCAATTTAATTCTTAGACCAACCAGAAGAACAGAGAAGGGTAGAGAAAAATTTCTCCTTCCCCGACACAATATAACAAAAGGGATATAAGAAAAATGACTCAATGAAAAGATTTACACAATAAGGCAAAAACAAAATTGAGTAATTATCATATGACTATTCTGAGCATCAAAAGGAAAATGACATTAGAGAAATCTATGTATATAATATAAATTATGCATACTTCTCTCAATGCTATACGAAATAGATTTGAGTATTGTTATCATTTGATATCATTCAAAAAATTTAAAGTACTTAAAGGCTAATGGTATTACTCATCCAAACATTGTATATGGAATTAAATGTGTTTGTGTTTTTGTGCTTTGATTAAAAAAAAATGTAAGAGGTATTATGAGCAACCCAAAGAAAAGTAGATACTAAAATCTCCTCTGAAAAAACAGAGTTCTAAAAACCAGAGAAGTTTATAACACTGTAATTCGACTTATGACAAATGAAGCTTCATCATGGCATTTCCACGGCTGCCCCAAGGGGAAAGTCCAGTTACTCAGCCTTGGTCAGGATAGAGAAATACAAGGACAAGTGCCTGTGCTTAATCAGAACCTACAGCTGGAATGCAGATGATAATATAATAACAACTGATAGCTGTTCAAAAAAAACTGGAAAAGGTTTATCTAGTATCTCTGAAATCAGCAGAAATACTCTCTTTCTTCTCTGATCATCCACTCAGCTTTTCTCTCGATTGAGGCAGAATCGAGTATTTCCAGTATTAATAATGACAACAAAAAAAGAGCTTGGTCAAATCAATCCAGTAAATACTGATGGAAGGATACCTCAAATGCTTAATAAATTATAATCTTGGATTATGCTAAATCTATCCAGATCAGTAAAAAGATTAAAAATGGTTATAACAATGATCTCTAGTCATAAAAAGGGACAGTCTTCTCCTTCCACTTGTTAAATTTGTCAACATCTCCACCTGTATCTGCACTAAAATTAAGTGAATTTAAATTAATACTTAAGCTTGTTTATAACATTCCCTGTTACAAACACTGGTAGAGTTATATAAAAGTCATGATTTTGGAAATGACTGATTTTTCACAAGAAAATACACCTAAGGCAAGAATTCTACAAACCAAGAATCCTCTGTGATCTGAAGTATTGTGTACTTATATTCCAAATGAAGACTATTCCTAAATTAGCAATAAAGAGGGAAGGAGAGGGAAGGGGAAGGGAAGATGGTAGGGAGGGAGGGAGGGAGGGAGGGAAGTAAGGAAGGAAGGAAGGAAGGAAGGGAGGGAGGGAGGCAGGGAGGCAGACAAGCAGGCAGGCCCCACTGTCCCATGACCGTATCTAATTTATTTCTGTCTTCCTGGCATCTTTATAAAGTGCACACTCAAGATATGATTAATGCCTGAATACATGAATAAATGAATGTCAAAATCAAACAAATAGAATAAACTATTACCTTTAGCTGGACGAATTGAAAATGCTATCCCTTTTCCTGCATTTACTGGTTGCCATGCAAATTTGACAAAGTAATTCTGATGGTTATACAACCTAACCGTTTCCCTGAAACATGTTTTCACCAAGAAGCCGTGTGGTCTCAATACAAGCTCATTAGAAGATAGCTCCAGTCTGACTGGCAGGACAACTGCCATCACTAGGATGTGCCCACTGGGTATATTGTTCACTGTAAAGATGAAAGACCTGTAACACAGCAAAAGCATCCAAATTTAACGGGTCACAGCTCTTTACTGAATGGTAGAATTCAGTTACATGTAAAAATGCTTTTATAATTGATTGACATTCATAATTCTTAGTAAACAATACATCAAAATAATTATAAATGTTAATTAGACTACCAGTGATACATGAATCTACAAATCTACAAATTGGTGCACATATAGTTTCTATGTTTTGGGACTAAATATATACAACAATTATTGGGGCAAATAAATACATATTTCACAAAAGGACACTTTGATTCTAGCAAATAGAAATTAGAAAATAAATCCTACTTCCAAAATTTTCCAATGCTGGGAGATTCAAATACCACTGAAATATAAGTACTGGCTGTAGGTGGAATCACATAGGAAAATTGGTTGGTTTTCCGAAGTTCTACCAAATTAACATCTAACTGGATCAAAATATGCATAGGGAGCATATTAACAACATGCAGTAAACGAGTATTTGTTGAGTTCACACAAACATCACCAAAGTTAAGGACAGAGGGCCCTGAAAAAAAAAAGTAAGTTATTAAGTTTAATGCTGACAAATGTGTTCATTTAGTTATTTTTTTTAAGTTTTCATACCATATTGTAATCAGTCCATTTGTTTAAAATGGTACTTAAAATATTTATTATAATATCAGAAATTATCAACCAAGCTTTTATCTAAATGTCCGTAATTTGATGTTCAGAGGTTACTGGCCAAAATTCAATACAGATATATACTGATTATATGGAAAACTACATGACAAAATTATTAGCACCAATTATAACTCATTTCAGTACACAAGTGTATGTATTCTAACACCCTTTCCACTTCCATCAACGTATTTATGTTCACTTATCCAGAATTTACAGAAATTGGTACCTTTTCCTTGACTCACTGTTTAAGTTTTAAGATTTCTCCTTTAAATGCCAAAATTTTTTACATTGTAACAATGTTAATAACTAGTAAGCCTTATCCTGCTTTTCTTTTTTAACAGCTTGGTTTAATTTTAACTGGTATACAATAAACTATACATGTTTAAAGTGTAGCATTTCATAAGTGCTGATGTATGTATACACCTGCAAAACAATCACCACAATGAAGAGAGTCAACATCCATCACTCCAAAAAGTTTTCCTGTGACCCTTCAGTTTTTCTGTCCCACCATTCTTCCTATTCCCTCTTCCCAGACTGCCACTCTAAATACTTTTTATCACTGTAGACCAGTCTGCATTTTCTAGAGTTTAATCTGACTGGAGTAAAACAACATGGAAGGGTTTTCTCTGGTTTGTTTCAGCAACTTCTCTGGAGATCCATTCAGGATGTTTCATGTGTCAATAGTCCATTCCTTTACATCAATAAACAGTGTCCATTATAGGTGAATGTTTGTCTATCATCTGTTGATTGACACTTGGATTCTTTCCAGGTAAGGCCTATTAAAGCTAGTAAAGTTGCTAAAACATTTGTGCATAAGCATTTGCCTGAAAAGATGCCCTCATTTCTTTTGGATAAATATCTGGGAGTACTATGGATAGACAACATCATAGATGTGTATTTAAATATTGAAGAAACTGTCAAACTGCTTTAAAGTGGCTGTATAATTTCTCATTCCCACTAGCAGTGTACAAGAGTACCAGTTTCCTAACATCTTTGGCAACAATTGAAATGGTACGTTTTTTAGCCATTCTAATAGATTAATAGTAGTATCACTGTGGTTTTATTTTGTGTTTCCCTAACAACAAACAATGTTGTGCATTTTTCCATGTGTTTCTTTGTCATTTGTATGTCTTCTAGAAAGCGGGAGGCACATGACTTATGATCTAGTCCATTTAGTTTTGGCACATGATGTTAAGGTATGGATACAAACTCCTTT